AGGGAGGGAGGGAGGGAGGGAGAGAGAGAGAGAGAGATCAAAGATTAAAAAGTCAGATTCGGACAGGTTCTGACTATGGAGCTCAGGCTGATTAAACTTAGCACTGTCCTATCTCAGCTTCTTGTGTACTGGAATTACAGGCATGTGTCACCACACCCAGCTTGGCACTGGTTATTTTTAAATTATATTAACAAGTTTAATGATGGCTTTAACAAATAAGAGAAAAAGGATAATTTAAAGATATCTTTGTTTTTCTATAACACCAGAGACCAATAATATGAAGGAAAGTTAATTTACTGTTCTTAAATTACGTTATCTTTAATACAGTCTATTGTCATGGACTGAGTTGTGTGTCCTTAGGACGTTCAGATATGATCTTATGTGGAAGCAGGGTTACGTCAGATGAACTCGGTTAAGGTTGGTGGAGGAGGCATCCAGCCATTCTGATCTCCTTATTAAGAGGAAACTCGGGCTTCCTAAGAGGACACACACACATAGAGAGGGCATGGGGGTTGGGGGAGAAGGCAGAGGTTGGGGTGATGCATCTCTGTGCCTTGGGCAGTCAAGACTGCCATTAATCATCAAGAGCTTGAGAGGAGGCCTTAGGGCAGACTCCCCCTCACTGCCAACACAAGGTGTAGACTCTGCTGACACCTGGGATTTGGACTTCCATCCACTAGGCTAGGCACAGTTCCTGTTGCTGAAGCCTGGTAGTTCGCAGTACTTCAGTATGCTATGTGGCCAGAGCAAACTTATATACCCAAGGAGAAAGGAATAAACAATGTCAGGACCTACATATTCTAGAATCCAATCCCATGATAGAATTATCCCAAGGAACCACGGTGCTTCTTACTGTCAGTTCCTGGGGAGCAGAATTTGGCTTCTTGATGTTGATCTCGATGCTGTTGCTGCCCTGTTTCACTTGCACGGGAGAGCCATGCACCATGGCCACGCCTTCAAACATCTGGGACTTGGTTAAGGAAGGGCCAGGGGCCGCCGCTGCAGGGCCTTCTTTTTCCTTTCCTTCCTCATCTCCATGGGCCATTTCTCCATTCATGCTGACTTTCCCATCTACCTATAAGAGCCAGAGCGAACAAGAAAACATGTTATTACACAACCGAAGATAACCAAACACATTGTGAATTGCCTTAAAGAAGTCTTAAAAGAAATCTCCTCAGAGCTTTCAAGGGTTCTAGAAGTTAGTTGTCTGTCAACACCACCTGTTAAGGCCTTTGACCACTTCATGACTAGATGATACTTCATGTCCATCTGACTCTTGATGTGCTTTCTTCATTTGAAAATATAGAAATATCAAGGAATCATTTTAAAAAAAATATTTACTTATTATTTTACAGGCATACACTTTTAAATTTTTTTAAAGAAAATTTTTTATATCATGTGCATTGGTGTTTGTGCCTGCATGCCCGCCCATGTGAGAGTGTCAGAGTCTCTGGAGTCAGAATTACAGGCAGTTGTGAGCTGCCACTCAGGTGCTAGGAATTGAACCCAGATCCTCTGGAAAAGCAGAGAGTGCTCTCAACCACTGAGCCATCCTTCCAGCTCGCCAAATGAAGGATTCTTAAATACAAACACATGCCACATAATTGAGTTAGGTCGTGATGGCAGTTCCACAATTTGAATGTTTTTTTCCTAGTTACCATATAAATGAGGCGGGACCATCCTCTGAACAGGAGCATTTTATAGGTTATCTTGTTGTGGAAGATTTTTTTTTTTTAATATAAAGTTATCACGGAGGGCAAGGATTCTGAAATTTTGTTATATAACAATAAATCTCATTTTTCTATTTAATTTTATAATTCTATTCTTTCCTCAAGGGAAAAAGGAGCCCATGCTCACTGAAAAGTTTTTGTTTCACATTCCACATTTAGAGGGGGCAGCAAGTGTGAGGAGGAGGGGAGGGGCTCGCCTGGCCTATGGAAGTGGCCACCTTCCTGATGGTTGAGCCAATTATCTGTGGTGAGATGACCTATGGTCCAAGTCTGACTCTGCCACTCGACGGCTATGCAATCTCACAAGTTTCCGACTCTCTGTACAAAAATGCAGATTTTAACATAACGACCGTCTTCATTGTGTGGTGGAATTATACGACTGAAGAACGTTTAGGGCTCAGAGCCCTCACATCTCACACACTACTGGCTGTTCTTATTAGATCTTCTAGAGTCTCTGAAAAGGAACAGTGGAAGGCTGGGTATTAGCTGTACTTAGTTTACTTTGTGCTACTGCTCATCACGCTTTCTTACCTGCTACTTGCAAGAAATTTGCAACATAACTCAGCACACACACATGAATATGGTGGAAACGGATAAACAGTATGTTTATCTTTATCAAGTGTGACCTGTATGACTTTTTATAGTGTATTATTGTCCACTTCATTTTTTAAAGTGATGATTCTGAACCACTAAACTGACCATAACCCAAATGTTTAAACTGAATCACTCTTTGATTTAAATTGAATTTCTTTACGCTTTTTTGTTCTTTGTAAAAATATGGTACAGATTATTTGTTCATTTGGTTTTGAGACAGGGTCTTACTGTTGTGCCTCTCCCCCACATTTTTCTAAGCTGCTTTGTCTTTCTAATCTAGTAATAATTATCCTATGTATAGGTTGCTTTGACAACTGTTCATTTATTTTTGAGAAAGTGGCTTGCTGTTGTGAGCACACACACACATACTTTTCTAAGCTGGCTGCTTTGTTTCTCTAATCTAGTAACAATTGTCCTATATATATGTTGCTGTTGTGAGTACACATACACACACAGAGAGAGAAAGAGAGAGAGAGAGAGAGAGAGAGAGAGAGAGAGAGAGAGAGAGAGAGA